TATATATATATATATATGTCTGTAATATGCATTGTTGAACCAAATCCTTATGATTTGCAGCACATTCTCCTGGAAGAAGAATGGTGGCCATGGAGAGATCAAAGCCCTGAGATAACAGCTAGTTGAATATAGGGATGCAACGATACTAATATCGATACCGAGTATTCGTACTCGCCTAAATGCTCCGTTGCCTAGCACGATACCCGAACTTCTGGTATGAGCAAGCCGGGTAGTGAGTTATTACACGCTGCCCGAGTTCCTGGTAGGCCACCTCCATGCTCCCTTTTGGTGACGAGGGAGCATGGAGCCGGCTAATCAGGAAGCCGGGCAGCGTGTAATGACTCGCTGCCAGACTTCTTGATTGGTCAGGAAGATGACCAATGAGGAAACCGGATGGCAAGTCATTAGCAAACCCCTGGGCTTCCTGATTGGCCAGAAGGCTGGCTTCATGCTAATCAGGATGCCAGTTGGTGAGTCATTACATGCCGCCCGGCTTCCTTAATGGGACTTCCGGTATCGGTATTGGCAAGTAGCGAAAAAAATTAAATCGGAAGGCAAAAGCAGCTCAAAGCAACTTAAAACAAGGTTAGAATCACCTGCCAATTTTTATTCATATTTTAAACAGGCACAAACTCTTGTTCCAGCAACAAAACAAAAATTATGGGCACTGTATTAACTGTACTGTCCCCAATATGCCTCTGGGGCTGTGGCAACGCAACACTGATTCCAGCACTAATGGCATACTATATTATTCTGGACCACATTTAGTGCTGTATTTGAGAATATTCTGTAAAGCTTTCAGTATACTAAATTCCCATGTGAAGTGAAGCAGAGCCAAAGCCTAGCAGACAGTAATACTGGGTCATGTGGTGGATAGACTGATGTGCACCAGTGGTAGAGAAAAGCAATACCTAGCAAATGTAGATAATTTGTGTACTCCCTACTGTGTTATTTATGGCATGATCTTGGTTACAGACATTTGGAATCAGTAAATCAAACCAGTCAGGAAATATAGATTTCATTTTGTAGGTACAGAATTTAAAGCTTTCAACCTTTACTATTTAGTAAGCCCCTAACACAGAACAAGCATGTAGCCAATGAATCTGTTTTGCCCTATGCATGGCCCCCAAAACATTGAGTTATGCGATACTGAGCATGTGTCAATAGAAGGCGTATTGATCAGCATCCTCACGTGCCTTTGACACCTTTTCTGATATTGAGCGGCGCCATCCGTTTGTCACTGCAAGACCTATTCCAAAAGGGACTTACTCGATAGGAATGCAATGAGACTTGGACTTTAATGTCACCTAAAAAGACTTGTGTATGAATGTACAAGCTCCAGGGCAAGTATGTAGGACTTCAGGATCTCTTAAGACTACTTCTTTAAAGTTAATAACTGATACGCTTGAAAAATTAAACCTCCCAAAATTATATTATTTTCTAAAAGAATAGGACCCACAGAGTAAAAGTATGGGAGATCAAATATATACAAACATTTAAACACCTTACCATCAAAAAATATTCTCTCTCAGCATGAAGCCTGGTATCAAACATCCTATGACAGAACTAGTAGCTACCGGTAGCACCCAGGTCAGCTGCTTGTTCTGCGATTGTGCTGCCCTGTCAGAAGCATCAAATCGGAGACCAATCAGAATGGTTCCAAATTGTTTTATCACCATAAAAGTAAATTACTTTAAATACAATAGTTTTGTTTGCAAACAAGCTGGTGAGGTAGAGTGGTATATGTATAAAGATCAGCCACCTTTATACATATAGGATTGGGCAGTGTGCGAGCCACCAGAGCATTCACTGCCTCCTCTAATTGATATCTGTACCTGGAGACAAACCTGTCCAGTTTGTTGAAGAATATGGAATATCCAGCATCCCCCACCTGCAACACATGTCCTGGAACAACTCCAGTTGTAGGAACCTTTCCTGGCTGAGAAAATCTGCCTGCCAATTGTCTATGCCTGGAATGTACAAGGTGGTCAAGGCTGGAACGTGAACGTTTTTGTTCCACCCAAAACAGGGCCCAATATACCTCTTGCTGTGGTGTCTGAATGAATCCAGATCAGAAGACCCCCTCCAGTAGGATGGTCCTCCCCAGCTCAATAGGTTGGTGTCCATCATGAGGATCTTCCAAAAAGGAAACTGGGGCAAAGAAACATTTATTCAGAAGGCCAAAGGGGGCTTGATGGAGATTTGACAATTTGTGTGGTGACACAAGACGTTTGGAGGTGAGAAACAGAGGAGGGGGGCAGGGAGTAGAAATACAGTTGTACCCTGTGATACCACCCCCTGCAGCTGAGATACAAGCTACCTAAACCTCTCCAAAAGTCAACAAATTGCTGTGGAAAGTGGAGACACATTTATTCAGAGAAAAGCCCGTCTGAGAATTTGTCAGACTTTAGGTCCCAGACTTGCAGGTGGACAGGACGCCAACCTTGGGAAGTCTCAACATGTAGAAACGATGAGAGGATGAAGACTTTGCAGACTTTCTTATGTGGAGAAAGATGGGTGTTTTTGCCACCAGTAGCATCCTTACCACCAAGAGCCTGACCAAAGAGACATTGCCCCTCAAAGGCCACGTCGATCAAATTATTCTTGTGCAAAGGTTCTGCAGTGCACTTTAAAGTAAGTGCCCTACACATATGTACCAACAAGAGACATGCAAGAAATGAGCTGCGAAGCTGACAGCCATATGCTCCATGACTTTAAAAAAGCAAGGGACCAACTGCAGCAGCAGGTCGAGCTCTTAAGGGACCTGCTAGAAAGAACAAGGCTCTTGAAAGACCTTCCAACCGCTTATCAATTGGGTCCTTGAAAACAGCTGCATCATCCACCAGTATAGTAAGCACCTCACTAAGACAGGACAAGGCCAGAACCACAGTGGTAATGGACCACCTCTGTACAATGCCTACGAAAATATGTACAGGGTGAAAAAGTGCTGGGGGGAAGCAAATAACTTATGAGGATGCTTTCAATCTCCACAGGGAAACATTTGGAAAAGCAAGAGCAAAGGAAAAGTATTTGTAGCTTCGGGAGTTTTAAACTATTTAAGGCTGGAGACAGCACTGGCAGAAGCAAGAGATTGAGTCTCTAGTTTCAGAGTGCTACACACTGCATCAGTAAGAGCAAAAATTGTCTTCTTTAGAATCTGAAGAAGGGGATGCAGAAGTGCACTTGTAGCTTTTGCAAGTCAGCAAATAACTGTGTGATTTTGGCCATAAAATGTTGCATGGCCATGATAAAAACCTTAGCCAAAATGACAGAGTACCCAGCCCCACATGATGGAGCTAAGGAGGACCTTTTCAAGGAGGGAACAGAATCCAAGAGCAGAGGGCAACATGACTCCAAGCTGCAGTGACAGCAGTGTCAGACACATTGCAAGCAGCCCGGGAGTCATTGGTAGAAAGTGAGCTGGGGGCACCTGGTACAGGGGGACTGTGCCCCTTCTGTCTAGTAGAATCAGACACTTTGCGACCATGTGGTGATAAGGCAATATATTAGGCTCAAACGAAAAAGGCAAGGCCTCTGGAACTCACAGTGAAAAAGAATAGAGGCACACAGCAACCTATGCAATGAGGTAGCTCCTGGTGCTTGTCTCGACCGGCCCACTTACCAAGCGAGTATCTTCAGAGACATGGCAAGCTAGGGGGCAATGCCAGCAGCGCCAAAGCTGTAAATTGTTCCGCAGGTAAGTTACCAGAATGGAGACTGAAAAGCACCGCACATGGAACCCAGTACCCAAAGAGTCTTGAAGAAAAAAAAAAGTGCTAGCAAAAAACAGGTAAGTGTTTAACACAGCAGAGCTGAAGAAAAAACATCCATCCTACTAGGACACTAAAACAAAAAACTAAGGCATGGCAATAGGAGGGATTATCCTGGGCTGGTCTAGTTTGTCAGTGCCCAATCATACTGTAAGTGGCAGTATAAGTTAGAGGTTAAAGGATTCCTTTGTCCCAAATATGCAAATATAAACAGGAGACTGTGATAATAAAGCACAAGCATTCACGCAGCAGCCAAAAACTAGAAAACCTAAAATTGTAAAAAGGTGATGCATGAAAAACCTATACAGCTCCATTGTTTAACTCAAATGAAGCAATATAGATTCCCCTATCTCTGCTGGGACACCTAATTTGAGTTGCATAATAGGCACGTATGTATTCAAGTGCATTAGAAGGGTCTTTCACTTTTAAGACAGAAAAGACAGAGAAAGTACATAGGAAGTGACAGATACTCTTAATGGAAAGATCAGGGGTATATTAGACAAAGGAAACCCTCCTCTGCACACAGCCCATGCAAATAAGGGACAGAGTTCCCAATGCGCAACTCCACTTTTGTTAAGAACAAAAAAATATACTTTGTTAAAATCCTTGCTCAATCATGTAAACTTGTTGCAGATTCCTACATATTCTTTTCAGAAAAATTACATTTTTGCGAGCACTTCATACCCACACAGTGTAAAGAATGCCTCCAAGGTTACTCATTGCATTGAATTTTTTTTTTAGAAAAGTTAGAAAATTACAGGGACTTTAGACTGAAATGGAGGAGAGGTGATTTCAATACTATTTTTTTTTTATTAACCAAACTTTAAAGGGGAGCACTACCAGACTCAGTCAGCTTAGAGGAAGATCCGCAAATT